GCAATAAAGTGACATTTCCTAAGAAGACTGAAAAGAAACAGAATCTACATCAGAAAAAAATAATGCTACTATTGGATAAACAGTGACTGGAGTGTTCAAGTTCACATTTAATTCAACTGCTGGTACACTATATGCAAATCCACATAAGCTATTCCTTTCATATGCAAACATAAGAGCAAAATTGCAGAGTTTCTAGCATGTGATAAGCCACTGACATTTACGTGTGCTATCAGCACAGGAGGTTATGACCATTACTACAACATTGTCCCTGCAATCTGAGTGGTTTCTTCCAAGGAACAGAATACTACCGCTGTCTACAGAGACTGGGGAAACCACACATGCTGGAAAAGTGAAAGCAATTTGTGTGGAAGCGGCAAGTGACAATTCAAATATCCGAATTTAAAATGAAAAAAAAAAAAAAAAACCAAAAAAAAAAAAACACAGCTTTAGAAAACTGAAGTACATTTTATTTAATACATTACAGTATGTTTGATAATTAAAGCTGCACATTCCTGACAATGCAACATCTACAGGGAAATAGCTGCAGAAAGCATCCTACATATAAATCGCATTCAAAAAGACCTATAAAATATTAAAGAGGAACATTCCAACTGTCCATTAATGGTCTTGTGCAACAATCAGAATATTTGGTTTATTTATCAAATATCAACTTGATTATATTATTTCAGGTACTTGTATAGCGCCATCAATTTACGCAGCGCTTTACACATATACATATATTATATTCACATCAGTCCATAACCCTCCAGAGGCGTACAATCTAAGGTCCCAAACTTACATTCATACATACACATACTAGGGCCAATTTAGACAGGATCCATTTAACGTACCAGCATGTCTTTGGAGTGTGGGAGGAAACTGGAGTACCCGGAGGAAACCCACTCAGGCACAGGGAGAACATGCAAACTCCAGGCAGGTGGTGCCATGGCTGGGATTCGAACCAACAATCCTAGTACTGCCAAGCAGAAGTGCTAACCATTTAGCCACTGTGCTGCCCTAAAATGTATATTTATCTATTCATCTTTACTCACTTTGTCTCAGCTTGTTGCTTCAGTTTCAGCATTAGGACAAGAGGTCAAACCTAAAGTTTTATAGACGTTGTGCTAACAGAAGCATAACCTCACACACTAAACCCAAACTCCTAACAGCATACAATGGCAATTAAAAGATTTCAGCGGTTATTTTACGTTCTAGCTATGGGGTTGTGCTTCTTGACACAGTTATCTAGATTATGCATTTATGGGATAACAAATTCACAAACTACACCTACCAGTCCTATGGTTTAATGTTTTACATACCACGGTTTGAGAAACCTGAAGCTGAAAAAAGGTCCCCTGACAAGCTCTGCCTATTTTAGGTATCTGAAGTTTTCTTAATATAAAATTATGTCTTTTTAGAACCATTGGTCAGGGTTCTGCTTTAAAGTGTATATCTAAACCCCATACCAGTCCTTTGATGTAGTAGCTGCATTAGATTTGTTTTTTATTCCTCCAGGCTTTCCCTATTAGTTTTACCTGGAAATCGAATAACTTATTTCCTGTTCCCTCATGTTTCTCTGTTGTATCAACGGAGAAACCATGGCTCACAGGCTGCATTTAAAACAAGTCTGCCTATGTTTGTCTCCATTACATGGTGGATTGATGGAACTAGCAGATTACACAAGAAAAGTAAACTTCATTATGCCTTAGTAGCAAAGTGACAGGACACAGCATTTCGGCCAAGGTCAATAGGTATTTTCTTTACTTGTTTTTCTCTCTTTTCAGTGAAAATAAATGCTACAACCACATCGAAGGACTGGTAAAACTTCAATATTTAATTAGTTTTGTTTAGTTTTAGATCTGCTTAAACATTACGTAAAGCCCAAATGCATGCCAGTGTTGTTTCAAAAGAAGCCAAAAAAGTTTTACTTGGCAGTAATGCAGTGAAGGTACAGGTATTACAGAAAAGGATAAGGCAAAGTATCTACTGTATATGTTCTACTGGAAGACCCATTCAGAAGAACGTAGGCTCTGGGCCTTAATGCCACCTTGTACCTGTGTAGGACCAGCAAAGGTTATTTTTTTAGGACATAGCCACCAGGAAGACAAAACTGAGTAAGTGCGGAAAGATGGATATCCCTGACAGGTTCAAACTATGTTTTTTATGCAAGAGAGAAGACATCACAAATGCCATGAAGAGCAGGTGGATGCACAAGGGGAGCTACACAAAATATGCTCTGTACAAAAGTCGTTATGAAACAATGGGAAGCTAAAAGGTCCCTGGAAAAAGACAGCAAGAACTAAGATTTGACTCTTGATGGTGCTGAGAGCCAAATGCTGACCCAGGCCTGAATGCAAAAATTCAAAATTCATCATAAGCAGTATTTCCTGGTGTGAAAGCTTCTTTTCTCACAGAAAGTCAGAGCGGCAACAAGCTAAGAGGCTTATAGAACCACAGGCAGATCAGATGTAGATTTTGCAGAGGACAGATGGACTCTGTGGTCTAAGTCAACAAACAGTGATGCTATTTGTCCCAGGAAGCCCTGCATAAGCAATGTAAAATCCTCCTGGAAGAAAAACAAGGGGAGAGCCACATCTGATGGAACTAAAGAAAGCTCTGCGGGTACAACAACTCAAGCAGGTGACACGGTTCTAAGCTATCAGTGTCAGGCCTTTGAGCCGGATCGTGAAGCTGGGGAACCCACTACAGCAGGAGTGTACCCTGTGCGTCTGGGATCCAACATTTTGCGCTACAAAGCAAAGAATGTGGCTCAGGGTACAAAGCTACACCTTGGGCACTTACCAACTAAATGCCAGAAGCAAGTGATGTTTGGATGGATGAAAGTGAACAGGTCACTGTAGGTGGACAACAAAGACTGAGGAGAGCTTGCAACACTCCCCTAAACTCACTGCTTCATCACGCAGTCCTTCAGCATTAACCAATTCATGTAAAACAGATAATAGGGATAATAATTGTGCCCAACAGTCTTAAAAGGAAATTTCATGTGCTCAGCCAACATGGCCTACTTACAAAGTGAGCCTTCAGAGGTTGTGCCATGGCACTTTACCTGGTAAGGGTTCTGCAGCGCACATGGTACACACAGGTCTGAAAGGCTCCACTATGCAGAATCCAGTGTTATAGACACAGTCCAAGCTAACCCTGCGATCACCCAGTCCAGCAGAGTCCAGGCTGGGCCTCCAAAGCTATTGCTGAGGATATACCAATTTGGATAGATGCGTATAGAGACCACATTAAGCAGTGTGTACAGAAATGTTGATTAAAGAAAATAATTTTTTTCTTGAAAATGGGAAGTGAACTGATAAAAATGGTTACATTTCACAGAGAAGAGATGCCCCTCGATGTAAAAAACTGAGTCATGTTGAGAGTTGGAGGGGCTATACTGGACTGGTTGCAGCTTGTTTTCCAGTGTCTAAATCCTCCTGTTGGCAGCAGTATAACCCAGTTCTGTGTCCCTTATCGGTCCATGGATTTTGAGTACCTATATTGGACTCTTCCGGGCGCCTTAGGCACTATCACCCTTATATACTCCTAACTGAACTCTGTAGCTTCTTCACCCATTTCTTATAAATCTAGCTGGGAAAGGGACCTGGGAGCCTCTGTGGAACCAGAGGACTGGACTGAAGCATGGTCAATTATCTCCCGATGCTTGTTTAACATGTCCACAATGGAAGCCGCGTATAAAGTTCTCTTGAGGTGGTATTGGGTCCCTGCCTGCACCGCAAGTGCAAATCCCGACTTTACTGACAGGTGTTTGTGCGGCTGTGGACAATGGGGAGATATGGTTCATACTAGGTGGTATTGTCCACATTTCAAGGGGTTTTGATCCAGGGTATTTGGCCTTCTTTACTCCATCTTTCATATTACCATTCCAAAAAAAGCGCAACTAGCCGTGCTACACTGATTATGGGTTTATTTTCACACCAGCAAAAGTTAGCCGCCTACCAATTTATAGCCGCTAAAAGGCCAAGGCATGGAAGAAACCTTCAGTCCCTTTCCACAAGGTCTGGACTACACTGACAAGCACAGAGGTCAGATGTTTCTTGTAGTATAAAAGACAGCTTTACAGCTGAACTCCAGTAGAAATATTTCTGGGCACACAGCACCAGTCACACAAGTTAACTCTAATAAAAATGCATCCCATGTTCTGCTGTTTACTGTTAAACTCCTCCCTCCAATGATAATAGATACTCCCCAGAGCAGTGATCTGATGATGCAGGGGTTATAAGCAGCCATTGTGAAGGACTTGTGCTGTTCACCCTCCCCTAATTGACCCGTCAAATCACAAAACCAGTAATCTTCTCTCAGAATGCAAGATGTTTTCATCAGAGTTGTTTAGTTTTAAACTAACCTAATATATAAATGAAACATAACTTATGCTATAAAATCAAGATTGTATAACCATAAATAATATTTTACCACAGGTGCAGTTTGTAACCATTACTGGGCCCACAGATAATAACCATACTCTGAACAATACATTTGTTGACCAAAAAGCCTGAAAGAACTTAGTTCATATAATTTGACTGTACAGTGCCTACAAGAAGCGTTTTCCAGTGGACATTTTCATGTTCTATGACAAAACAAAACTTTCAAGAGGGTCGTTTTTTTTTATGGACTGTATTATGAAATAATGTAAACAAAACCTCTCCAGTAATTAAAAATAATGAAGCTACCACTGCTGACCTGTTTTTGAAGGTGCAGGTTGTGGGGCTGTCAACCATATCCTTGCTTCACTATCCAGTGATGCACTGACCAAGAACAAGTATGAGCGTATCAGAGGTTACAACAGCCTAACTGTTTGATCAACACTTTATGGTGGAATGGAACTGCAAATATAAGTGACGCCAGAATGATAAGGCAAACTAGAACAAGGTAGTACTTTTTTCACCACGGATCTGTGGAACTAAACCTAATATAATACAGACTAACAACAGCCTCAACAGCTGATTACAAGGACAACTGTATGTCATGCAACATACCTCATTATCCATTGGGCTCCTTTTCTCTGGACTCAGTGCTTTCTGCTAAAGGAACATAAAACAATCTGGTTAGCTACTCTATATACTAAAATTACAATCAAAGTAGGCAAAACTTGCAGCAGTCTTGCTAGATCAGGAGAGAATTAACTTCCCATTGACCACAATAGAAAATGGTTACCCATGTAATTGTTTCTTAAGGCAACATCTAATAACATATTTGAACTGAAACTATATTAACAAAAAAACAAAAATGACACTGTCGACTACGGAAATACCAAACATGACTGAGACTTACTCATTATTACACGACCATTTTTTTTATAAAGTTCTCACAAGAAAATTATGTGATTTCAGAATTGCCTACAATTCAGTCAAAAAATATAAATTAACTATGGTACATAAAATCCATTACAAAAGTACAGATGTGCTCATGACTGGCGATTGGCCACTCAAGCAATGAGCATTGCCCTGTGTGGAGTCACAAGCACCTCTGTACTAAGAAGTAGTGGGGTTTTAACTGGCAGGTGAACAATTTGGGAGGGGAGGGAGAGAAGAAAATATGTGCTCCATACATTATCTGCTTCAAAGCAGACCCTGAGATTACTGAACAACTTCTGCGTTATATAATGATAGATTATCAGTTACACATGCCAGTGATTAATATCATGCAGCAAGGCAGTTTTACGGTTTTCCCATCTGTAATTCATCTATAAGAATTTTGGTGAAAGTTCACAAGACTGGTAAAAGACCTAGTGAATTCTGCCAAAAGATGACTGTATTAATCTAGCACAAAATCTCCTTGTTCCAATAGCAAGGAGATTATAATGCCTCCTGCAGCAAAACCTAATATCACAGTTCTTGTAGGAGAGAACATTACAATGTTAAAAGAAAACGCAGTAAATATTTTTTGAAATGTGATTCTTCCACTAACAAAGGAATGTTATTTACATGCCATGAACAAGGCAGTGACTTACGTTTAAAGAGTCTGAGCGTGTTAACTTGTCCCTCCTCCTCTCCTCCTCATACTGCTGGGCCGCTAGTTGTGCTTCTCTCCTGGTAGATTCTACCAAATCTCGCCTACGCTGCAAGTCTGTATCCATCTATGGAACCCAAAAAAGGGGAGGTGGTAAACGTTCGATACAGAAAAGCAAGTTCCAGTGAACTAGAAGCTCATGTACATAAAACCAAAGCCCCCAAATTATGTCTTTTTACATGCAACTAGCAGCTTTACCTGGTTAGGACTTTTAGTCAGTGCAATAAGATACATAGCATCCAACGGAGCCCTAAAATGGAAAAATATGTGTGTTAAAAATGCAACTATGGAAATGGAGAACAACCTCAAAAATGAAATTGGTATCAATACATCACGCATAAACATTATAGCAGTATCAGGATATGGTAAGACTGGTACAGACTAAAGACTGTTACTGGAAACAAGCAAATTAGAAAAAAAATAAAAATTTGTTACCATTCTGGGCTTATAACTGGGACAGCAGAGCTTAACGCTTTATCCACAATCCTTACTAAAAGGAGTAAAGGTGTTGGCAACACAGAATTAAATAACTTACTGTGGCTTATGCAATAATATTGTGTGCTAAACAACATGGCTGTCAAAGGGTTAAAAAACCCTCTAAAAAACGTGCTTTAATGACACAATAACACAAACATATGCACAGGGCATGCACAACACATATAAAAAGATATCAACATGTGATCTCGAGTGAGAGGAATAATTCTAGGATCACAGTTTAAAGTGATTTCAAAATGGGTGAGCTGTAAAATGTATTAAAGTTTCACCTATTAATTTAGGGTGCATGCTATTTTCAGGCTTGGATTTTTTTTCTTTAAACTTTAAACAGCCATCTTTCATAGCAGAAATATGTGAGCATTAAAATTAGTGTTTCTTTTACTAAAAACTATACTGTATAGATTTATAAACATTTGTGCAAATATTGTGCCAAAAATTACACAACACTAAAAAAATAAAAATAAAGATGCTGGGGGTTTGTATTAAGTTTCAAGCAGACTAACTTTTGTGTAAAAACAAAAATGGAAGAAAAAAAAAAAAAATAGGCCCATCAGCGAAAATGTTAATCTGTAAGTCAAAAGACACAGCTGTTACCTCTCAATTTGCCTACGAGGAGATGGCTGCCTTTGTTTATTTGTTAAACTCAGAGATTCTGGTCTTCTTGGCTCTTCTGAGGTTCTACATTCAAAAAAAAAAAAAAAAAAAAAATATCTGCACTCAAAGTGATTCTAAAAGGCTTATTTTGTTGTTTTTTTTTTTTTTTTTTTTTTTAAAGAAAAAAATAACAAACATGTCTATACTTACCTGCTGTTTGCAGTGGTTTTACACAGAGTAGCCAGGAATCCTCTTCGAAGGTCCCCTCCGAGGCTCCTGGCCCCTCCCTTGCTATGGGGGCACCCGCTGCTCCGTGTATCCATTCACACATGGAGCCACAGCTTGGTCCCGCCCACTCTCTCGTCATTGGCTCACTGACTATGATTGACAGCAGTGGGAGCCAATGACGTGAGTCCTGGGATAGCTGAGACTCCAGTGCATTATGCTGGATTAAGAGGGCGCTTAGGTGAGTATTAGGGGGGGCTGCTGCACAGAGAAGGTTTTTTACCTTCATGCATAGAATGCACAAATGTAAAATCCTTGAGCCTTTTCAACCACTTTAACAGAAACATTTATAACTAGCCTGTGGGATAGTTCATTCCTTAATGCGTTAATATGGGTGTACATGCTGAAGGTAACTAACCTGCTTTGGTATAAATGTCTCCTTCCATCTTCTGGTCTCTGAAATTCCCTTGTTGTGCTTTGTTTCAGAGGCGAGTCCTGCAAAATATTCACAGCAAATAAAGAAGCAGAATATAGTCCATCTTAATTTTATCTAGAATTAAGTACAAAAAGTAAACAAAATTGCATGCATAAGCATAGTATGTTGGCTTGCACCTTCTCAGCATAATGCATTTTTTCCCTCACAAACCAAACCAATAGAGGAAGGTACTGATGTGTGGTCATTCCATATAAAATGCTGTCTAGTATTGTGCACTATCCACAACTTTATAAAAAATATTGCAACTTGAAGACAAAATATTCCTTACCTCATGTGTTACCCTTCGCTCTTCTATATATGCCATAAATTGTGAACTTAGACTGTCACCTCTGGACTGCCGTACATCCTCTTCTTCCTCTTCTGTTGCATAGCTATCGATGTAGTCAATCTGATCCAGATCATGCTCCACTGCAAAGAAACAGGTCTGTATAACTGCACAGGACCAGGAAATTAGCAGGCATGAAGATGATCCTGCCACATCTCAAAAACCTACCACCACCATTTGCAATGACTGAGTTGCCTCTCGATTCCTGGATATGGTCTCTCCGAAGCCGTTGCTCTTTACTTGAGTCAGACGTCCTTAGAGGTAGGTCAGTGAATTCATCTGTAGGCTAGTTTAAACAGAATTTAAGAATAGCAGTTTGTCGAAAGTCAAGATATAAATACAGCTTGTAAGGTATTGTAACTGTTAAGCAGTTTAAATGAATGGTTTCTAGTCATGATAACGTGCTTATTATTGTGATGCTATGATTAGCCCACAGCTATCACATGGTACCCGGCACCCTGCTGTTATTATATGCAATAACAGTGATTAAAACAAAAAAAACCACCACCCTTGATCAGAAAAATCTTACCTCATTTCCAGACCACCGTTTGTCTCCACTGTCTACGCTGTTAAAACCAGAGTCCAATGCACCATAAGAGCGACTGGGGTATACATCATCATGGCTAAAACAGACATACACCAGTCATAAGCACAAATACACAAAATATTAACCAATCAAAAGATCGATTTTTGAAGATTTAACTACAATGTTGTGAATTTTCAGTAACTGAGGTTGAGTTATATCAGAATTAAGTGATTTTAAAACATGAGAAACAGAGCTGATAAATCAAGTTCCATTACTGAAACACGAACACTGTTAAAAGCAGTAGTAAACGAAGATTTTTATCTCATACATATAGGTAAGCCTATAATACGGCTTACCTAAATTTCCTAAACATGGGCATCACAGTGGCTAAATGGTTAGCACTTCCGCCTGGCAGTACTAGGGTCGTTGGTTCGAATCCCAGCCACGGCACCTCCTGCCTGGAGTTTGCATGTTCTCCCTGTGCTTGCGTGGGTTTCCTCCGGGTACTCTGGTTTCCTCCCACACTCCAAAGACATGCTGGTAGGTTAATTGGCTCCTGTCTAAATTGTCCCTAGTATGTGTATGTATGAATGTACGCCCCTTGAGGGTTAGGGACTGATGTGAATGTACAATATATATGCAAAGCACTGTGTAAATTCACGGCGCTATATAAATACCTGAAATAAACGTGCACCGTTTTGGAAATATTCACATGTGTAACAGCCAGTGACTTCCCCGGCACATGCACACTGTGCTCTCAATAGACAGCATACTCGAATAGGCCGTCCACTAAGAGCTGTGCCACAATTTTTTTATTTTTTTTTTCTCAAAAACCGTTTACGCTCGCTTTATCTGTTCATGTCAAGAGCTAATCTGTCATAGCAAAAGCCTAAAACAAAATTACCAAACAAGAAGATATATAGGTGAAAACTACTACAGTCAAGTTAACCGCTTAAAACTTAGCTAAAAGGACTGCACTTATACTAACCTCACAGTGATAACAGTCTCTCAAACTCCAAAATGGACATAAAAGGATGGCTAAGGCCACAAACTCTTCTTTCAGAGTACTAAGGGCCAAGTTTTGGTCAAGACCTGATCGTAAAAAGTCCAAAATGCGAGGCACAGAGTAGACACTGAGATTAATGTCCTAGTGCCCACACAAGACAAAGAAGGATTTCAAATGTACAATAGTAGATCTTACCTGGAAGTGTCTTTTCTTGCTTTTAGCAAAAGTAGGAAAGACAGACTGAGAGGCCACACCCTAACCCCCCCCCTTTCTCAAAGACTTGCGCTTCAACAGCCACGCTGTTAAAGCCTGTGACTGAGAAGCAGGATAGAAAAGAAAAAAAAAAAAAAAACAAGTCTGGCATGTTGGGAAGAAGCCATTGGTCTTCTCTTAGTAGTTTTGAACAAGTCTGTGCACTAGGTTCTTTTGGGCCAGTTTGGTGTAACGAAAACCAATTTCCTCTCATGTTCTCTTTTTGAGCAGCAGGCAAGGAAGAATTCGCTCTGGAAGGCTTGCATAGATTATCCTGAACTAAAATCAAGGAATTATCAAGGCATCCAATGCAAGAGCTAGAGGATCCCTGGTCCCCTTAGTCCAGGTGGTGACAAGCTGAGGCAATTCACCTTCCAGTTGACCATTCCTGGGATGTGGACATCAGAGATCGCTGGATAGTGTTTCGCCATCCAAGAGATAAAAGAGATAACTTGGCTTGCTTCCTTCAAGGTTGCATGATTCCTGGTGCCCCCTTGGTGGTTGATGTAGGCCACAGCCATGGCATTATCTGGTTGCACCCCGATTGGGTGTCCTTGCAGTAGTGGGTATCACATGTTGCAAAGCCATCCTTACTGCTACAAGCTTCAGGATGTTGATGGAAGAGCATGGCTTCCAGCAACGAACATGTCCCCTGAAGTTGGAGGAACTGAAACAATCCTCCCCAGTCTGAGACATTGGCATCTGTCATAACTTTCCACTGATATGGAAGGAAAGACTTCCCTGTTGTCAAGGCTGTGTTGAAGATCTACCAAGCTAGGGAATTCCATGTTTGGCATAACAGGAGCATGGTTAGAGAAAGAGAAGGATCTTTCTTCCAGGTCAAAAAGATGTTGTGTTACAGAGGTCTCAAATGAAATTGGGTAAATGAAACAGCCTCAAAATGAGGCTACCATGAGACCCATAACCTTCACAAATTGAACTTTTCGGGGCAGAAGGTTCAATTAAGTACAGGTTCTTGACTACAGGATCATGTTGGCTGTTCATTGCCCTAGACCAGTTAGCTGCAGTTTAACAGACATAAATTGAGGCAATAGCTGACCCTGCAAGTGTAAAGAGAGCCTTTAAGAGAATCTCAGACATCCCATCTGTAGAATCTTTGAATGAAGAAACATCTTCAGTTGGTACAATGGGATGTTTAGAAATGAGACGGCAGGATCTAGTACCAGAACAGATGGGGCATGGGCCCAGTACAGGAGGGCTGGCTGTACTGCCTTATCAGTGGCCCTGGGTAGAATAAACACCGGAGGACTGCAATCAGCAGTGAGGATTGGAACACAAACAATCCACAGGTGCATGAGATAAAAGAGAGGTGAATGTGGGATTTGCTCACTCCTGTCTGCAGGATGGATTTGGTATGTACTGTACGAAATTAATGAGGAGAGTGCTGGTTGGATTATGGAAGAGGTTGAGCACTTTATTTTGGTGTAAAAATGATCAGGAACTTCAAATCAATGAGGAGGAAGTATGGTGAAAAAATTGTATGGGAGGAGATTTTTGAGTATCCCAATTGAAGATTGACTGAATAGGGAGAAGGACTCTCTCCCTTTATGGCGTTTTTAAAGTTTAAGAAAAGCTGGCATCTTGGGTATTAATATAAATAAAAAATGGGAGGTTGTTAGTATACTGAGTTTCTATTTCTGTGACTTCAGCAGGACTTGATAGCTCATTTACCTACTCATTAAGGTCTAGGGTGCATAGAAAAGAAAATGTACTTACCCGATCCTTTGTTCTACTAGACCAGTGGTGGGCAACCTTTTTTTTCAACTGAGCCAAATCTCGCCAAAACCACGATTGAAATTTATTTTGAGAGCCACATTTTTAAAACTGAAAATACATCCCCCATATAGTAATTCATCCCTCATAGTAATTCATCCCCCATATAGTAATTCATCCCCCATATAGTAATTCATCCCCCCTATAGTAATTCATTCCCCATATTGTGTCAATTCACTTACCTTTGCTCCGCGCGTTCCTCTCGCCGTGTTCCCGCGCCGTTCTGGTCTTCAGGGCGGACTGTGAGAGGAGAGGAGTTCGTCACGCTGCCCCGCCTACATCCTGGCTGCCCCGCCTACATCCTGACAGCTGCAGAGTCCTGACTTTTGGGGCGGCCCCGAGAGGAGGGAGGGGGGCGGGCCCCGAGAGGAGGGAGGGGGCGGGCGCCCCGAGAGGAGGGAGGGGGGCGGGCGCCCGGCACACAGAAGAGCCGCATTTAAGTTTGTAAAGAGCCGCATGTAGCTCGCGAGCCGCGGCTTGCCGACCACTGTACTAGACCAACTTCTGAAGCACCTTCTCCCTTATGCTCCAGTGGTCTAAGGTCCTAATGTGATCAAGACCGATGCACTGGACGTGTAGATGCTGAGAGACAGTCAACCACCAGAGCATAGGGGAGTGAAGGATCAGGTAAGAAAGAGTTTTTACTGTCCATAAGAATAAATTAGGAGTGAAACTTTGCAATGCAAAACACAGCCCCACTGTGAGGGGGTATTTTCAATTTCCCAGAGATGCGCTTTAAGACAAACAGGCATATAAAGCAGACGCCTTTACTGTTTGACCTTGTCTAAGGTTACAGAGCAGACACAGGCTGAATGTAAAAAATGCAAGAGCAGAAAAAGAAAAAAAAAACGGGTTTTATTTACTTAGATATATTAAAATGCAGCTATAAAGTTATATATTTTCCGGTTACTAATATTACATTCAGTGAAAACATGTATTGATTTTTTACTAACCAAGAACCGAATCCTAGAGGTCTTCTGTCATACTCTGGTAAATCTGAAGCATTCTTGCAAGCTTCTATGTTCAGGTATTTAAATATATGAATTTTACCTTTGATGCAAATCTATTTAGACAAACACATGAAATTTGTTAAAATGGAAAAATTATAATATACACATACACACACCTAAAAACAGACATGCATAGCCATTATGGTCTTGAATTTGTAATACATTTAGAGTGCTGTGGACAAAAAAAAATAAAAGAATTAAATGTTGTACTCACTGTAAAAACATTTTCTTAGACTCCATTGAGGGACAAAGAAAGATTTAACCTTTGGGTTATACTATTGCCTACTGAATGCTGGCAAATTGACCCCTTGTACAACAAGCATGCCTTATCTTTGTAGCCAAAGACTCTTAAAGAAAAGGATTTTATAGTGAGTACAGAAACCTTTCCAGTCTATTGTGGCAGGCTGGACGCTTTAACTTTAGGGATGTCCAAAAGCAGCTCAACAAAACAGGTAGAAGGAAATTAACTGGGGGCTACCTGCAGCTCAAAGAGCTGCCTGAAGGATCTTAAAGCGGAAAATGTAATCATCTGCGATGCACTGTCCCAGAGCTCCCCGTCTGGCCACTGACATCTTCAAGCGGCTGCTTCAGGGCCTGAATGCCAGCCGGTGTCATTGGCGGGGATGACGTTACTTCTACACATGAACAGGAATTCTGTAAAATTTGGCATTTCCAAATTTGTACAGTGAGCTGCACATGCACAGCTCCACTGTACAGGGGTGGACTGGCAGGTAGCTTTACTGCAGAAGAGACAACGCAAGTCTTTTCTGCATTAATAATCCTGTGTCTGTTCATTTTTAATTTTTATCTAAAGTGCCAATGTAAGATTGAAGCTGGCATTGGATAATGAAAAATCGAGAAAATAGCGGTGTACCTTAATCCTTAGTATGCTAATGCTTGAACAATAGTCTGTCTGGGCCACACAGAAATGGCTGTATGAGAAGCCAGTGCACCCTTTTATTGTCCATACATGATGGGATACGTGGATGGGATACGTGGATGGGATACATGGATAGCAAAAAAAGGAAGCAGTCTTTCTGAAAGAAGCAGTGACTGAGACTCTCCTAACCCAAACCACATCGGAGAAGAATTTCTTTTGGGCAAACTGGAACCAGACAGAACGCTGGTAGAACAATGCTTAGTTGAGGTGAAAGGCAGAAACTACTCTAAGCAAGGAGGAAGTCCTGAGCCTAGACAAAACCAATATGGGTCTTTGCAGGATAAGGCCGCCAGCTCAGACACTCACCTTATATAGGTGACAGGTACAAGATAAACATCCTTGGGGATTAGAATAGAGCGAGGAATGTCTCCATTGTGACTTCTGAAGCACAGCGAGAACCAGGTTTAGGTATCACGCAGTCACAGGGAAAAGATCAGGGAAGACAACTTGTAAAAAGCTCTCGTGCTATAGGAGGCAAACAGTCTCTGAAACGGGACAGAAAGGACAAAAACCTGGTCCTTGATAGTGCTGAAAGTGAAAAACTGGTATAGACTCAACTGCAGGAAGAGGAGGATTTATCACATGGAGAAACCCCTGGGGTAGAAGCCTCAAGACTCACAGCAAGTGAAGTCTGTCTTCCACGTCCTTTGATACACCTAGTGGGAAGTAGAATTTCTAGCTTTGAGCAACATAGGATTCACAAACTCAGAGATGCCCGTCCCTCAAACCTTGGGCTTCAACAGCCAGCAACTGAGGAGCAGGATAATAAACTAGACCTTGAGACAGAGGATTCTGAAGATCTGGCAGTGACCATAGACTGTCAGGAGTCTTACCAGGTTAGAGTACCACATTATTCTGGGCCAGTGTGGAGCAATGAGGTTCACCAGAACGCTCCCCAGCTTGAACCTGCAGAGCAGAAAAGGAATGTTTCTGGGGAGGAAATGCAAAGATTAGGGTTTACTGATCCCACGAAGCTACCAGAAAATCTACTGCTTCAGCTAGACAAGAGGATCCCTGTGCCTGGATAAAAACCTGTCTAGTTTGATGTTGGACCAAGAGGTCCACATCTGGCATTCCTCACCTGTGACAAAGGTCATGGAACATACTGGTTGTAAAAGCCACTCCACCAGGGTCTAAGCAATGATAGCTTAGGAAATCTGCCTGCCAATTGTGTATGTCAGGAATGTACATGGCTGACAAGCCTGATAGGCTGATTGGCATCTGTCGTGAGTGGAGTATAAAGTTTGAACCCAAGACTGGGCAGTCCAAAGATTTGGTGTGAAAGGAACACTGGCCTAATAAGTGTCCAAGACAAGAAGCTGATACACCAAATGATGAGTCAGTTCAAACAACCATTTCTGAAGGTCAGGATCCATCAGAACTGCTATAATGTCTGGACAGTTAAAAGATATCAAAGCCTGCACCAACGGTTTATCCAAAAAGGAGGTAGTTGAAGTATCCCACAATGGGAATGGCTTAAAATTTCATTAGGGCCAATACCTTAGTAACAACTGAGATACAGATGGCCAAAGGGCAAGGCCATGAACTGGTACTGTAGGGTCCCCACAGAAACCCATAGGAATTGCTGATATGCAAGAAAGATGGGATATGTAGGTAAGCATCTCTGATGTCCACAAAAGCAAGAATGTCTCCCTAGTGAAAGGAGGTGATTACTAGTGGTCTCCCTTCAGATTTGTTGGACCCAAATAATTGGATTTTTTCTACATACTTACCTGCCAAATCCATTTGTTGGAGTATATCACGGGACACAGAACCATCTATTCATGACTGTGGGTTATAGGCCACCCATAGGTGAATGGACACTGGCCGACCAACAAGAGAGGAGGTCCTCCCCTATATAATCCCTAATACACAGGAAATACCTCGTTTTTTTGTAGCAAGAAGTAACATTCCAGAAAGAGGGGTGTGACCTCCGGTGTGCTGTGATGATCCAAGAAAAGCCCCCCCCCCCCCACACCCAAACAAGTGGGGGTGACTTTTGCACCAAGGACCTCCTTGGGTTTTGATTCTGGGATCTACCTCTGAAGGCTGGGACCTGTGTGTGGCAAAACGACTGCCTGGCATATGAGGGCCCACCAACTGAAGCCCGACACCTTAAAAGAAAGGCGTCTGAATTTCCTCTTAGAGGGTAGAAGAGTACTTTTACCCCCTGAAATCCTTTGGATATATTTGTCAAAATCTTCCCCAAACAGCTGTTCCCCATGAAAGGGAAAACCTGCAAAAAAATTTTTTGCATGTCAGTCCTGCTGACCAACTCTTCAGCCACAAAACTCTGCGCATGTGCACGGTTAAGAGGGCCAGGCGAGAAATTTGCTGAACTTAATCCTTAAGAGCATCAACCGCGAAACACAAAGCACACGGAACATCCTCCAAATTCTCGTCTGAGCATTCCCCCTGCACTGATGGTCTTCCAATCCGTTGCTTGACGCGGTCAGAAAGACTCTGTCAATAGCTGCCCCAGCTAGCTGTGTGGCAGAACCTGCCAGGGAGAAGGAGGCCTTAAAGAAGAGACTCCAGCTTCTTATCTGCTGGGTCCTTGAAAACCTGTACATTATCTACAGGACATTTTAAAGATTTATTCAGGGATGAAACATCTACATCCACTACAGGCAACCCCCATTTAACAAACCTTTGTTCCATGGGTACAAAACAGAAAACCTCTTTGGTGGAACAAAAACCTTGTCTGGGTGGTCCCAGTCAGCATACACAATTTGCTCTAGAAGTGGATGCACCGGAAAGGCCCGAGTACTCTGTGAAGGCTTCAAAGAGCCCAGGGACAAATAAGTTACTGCAGAGGTTTCTATCGGAGGTAGCTTGAATCCAGACCGTACCATATCAATGAGGTCCTGGACTAAACATTTCTGAGACAAGGAGGCAGAGACCTCCTGCTTCTCCTCAGGCTGTGACTCCTGAGACAGAAATTCTACTGCCTGACCTTCCTCCAGCTCTACTCGTCCTCAGGCTCCACCCATCCCTGCTCCAGGATTGGTGGTTCTAGTGATGGGATCCATCTTACTTCTTAGTCCTTTGAGAAACTGATGCAATCATCCTAGCAATCTTATCTTCTAAACCCGCTAAGGCTGAAGCAAGATCATCCTTGGTTACATATGCTGAGGAAGAAGCCCCAGTAGCAGCCACAATGTCAGATAGACGCAGCGGCACAGACTGCCCAGTCACTTCTGGTCTGTCAGGAGAACATATTACAGCGGACCTTTGGCTAGGTTCCTCAGGACATGGTGGTGGTACATTAGTGCCCTTTCCCGCTGCACCTCCCCCACTCCACTTTCTGGAAGACATCACTTCATAGCGCTAACCTGTGCACTTCCACTAGCAACACAGATCCCAATGATACAGCTATGCAATAATGTGCTGAAGTAAACACACTCAATGCAAATGCTGCCTTAGGAGTCACCTAGGGTGACTGCTCCATGCATCCCCATCAGGGGAGTACTCACGTGCCCCTACTGAATAGCCCGCTCTATGTCCCGGCCACAAGAGATTTCTCAGCAGTAACAGCCCACTTTTGCCCTGGCCTCCAGATAAACAAAATATGACCGACTTCCGTTTCCAGCCGCACCCCCTCTAGTGGCCAAAAACCAAAAGAGCAAGCACATCTCAGGAACAACAGTGAGCACTCCTCCTGGTGGAAACCCACAGTAACAACACCGGTCCCTTTCCCTCCAATTTAGAGCTTTGTTTCTCTTTACAGAGAGTGAAAAAAACAAACAAAAAAAACCAAAAAAGAATCTTAACAGTCCTGCCACAGGTCACCGACTTCAGTCAGGCGCTAACCTTCAACCATCACAGTGGGCATTGTCATACAGCCCTTTAAAGGACTCAGTCCCTATTCTGAGGGACTACTGTCTTGGACCCGAACAGCACCCCCCTGGAAGAGCCTTGGTCAGATTTAAAAACGGCACAGGGTTCCATGTGCATGGGGTCCAGCGCCGCAAGGCTGCATTACAGGCAAAACCTTGAGGATTCTTCTCCTTATCCAGTGAGGCTCAGGTACCATCCATTTTAGCTCATAGCCTTCTGAATGGATCCGATAAAAGTCTGATTTTCTAATGGAACTGCTTTGGACTTTCAGATATGCTCCATGAGCACAGCAACAATTTCAGTGACCATCCACCTTAGAGACACTGGCGAAGAAACTGAGGCACCTCCTGTATAAGAGGGGTTATATAGGAGAGGACCTCCTCTCCAAACAGTCAGCCAGTGTCCATTCACCTATAGGTGGCCTATAACCCATATAGTCATGAATAGCCTGCTCTGTGTCCCATGATGTACGACAAAGAAAAAGGCATTTACAGCTTGAAGATCCAAGATGTGGCAAATTCCACTTTTAGGTTTGGAACAGAGAACAGTTAGGAGTAAAACCCCTGAAATGGTTTTGATATGAACTGGGACAATGGTACCTTGGTCCAGAAGACCAGAGAAACCTTTATGCATATTTTTTAAAGTGGTTGTAAAGCCTTAAAAGTGTTACTAAACCCAGGACCTTGCGTTCACTATATCTGGTCTCCCACAGTACACACAACATGGAAGTGCAATTATTTTAGTAAATATAAACTGCTAAATACCTTTTCTCATCAGCAGTTTGAGCAGTCTTGTGACTTCTATCAGTGTCCAGCCAAGCACATATTAAAGCTTTTAGGAGGAACTTTCATTCTGCTCTAGCAGGATACAGGACCCCTGACCTCTATCTGGACAGTGCTGATTGGCCCTGTACTGATCACATGCAATCTTCCAAGAAGAAAAAACAAAAAACACTCTCTAGCAATACACACCAAACTGAGCAAGTGCAGAGTGACTCCATACGATATGTCTTATGAGATAAGAGGGTGGCACTGGAAGAGGGGGAGGAACAGTGAAGTCAGGCTCAAACAACATTTTTACACAATGCAGAGCATTAACCCCTTAGGTTCCACAGTGAGTATAACAAGCATGCTTTACTGCATATACAGACTGATTTTACTGTTGTGGGTTTAGTAACACTTTAAGGTATTACTTACCTGATACTACTTAAGGTACACTTACCGGAGCCCCATCGCGATCCAGCGCTGTGCATGAAAGCAGCGGCTCTTCCGGCTCTGTCCCTCCTCACTCGGCAGATCTATAGCAGCGATTGGCTCCCTCTGCTATCAAACTCTGTGACAAGGGAGCAAGGGCACGGCCATGCCCCATGGTCTATGAACGCAAGCAGAGGGATTTGAGCTCGCAAGAGACCCCTATAGGAAGCTACTTCCTATGGGCCACTGGATGAAGAAGAAAATCCAAGAGCCCTGGTGAGGGACCGGAAGTGGAGAGAGCTTGTACAGAACAGGTAAGCATGACATGTTTATTAATTTAATAGAAAAAACAAACAAAAAAAAAACCTTTAGTCACTTTAATCTGTGCAGTCGCACAGAAACGTTGGAAGCAAAAGAAGGAAGGGGCAAGGAGCCAAACACACATTTGTAGTCTTAATACCACCTCCTGCAGACCCTGAGAAGTCTCTTTAGAGGAGAAACGAGAAAATGTGTATTACAGGGAAAGACCAGTGTGTGTGAATCTCACTAGGGAAAGACTAATATATAAGATGGACATCCAGAGTGACTGTGGAAGAATCTTAATAGGAAAGTTAAAGTATGTTGTGAAAACAAAACTCAAATGTAGGCATTATATTATTAACAAAGACAACCATTGTATGCAGGCAACATATGTCAGGTTATCAAGCACATACCTGGGCTGGAGGGGATTGCAAAGGATTATTGTCCAAGATAATGGACTGGAGGTGTCGCAGATTTCGGTAACATACTGGGATACTTGTGACTTTGTTACATGAGAAATCTAACCGAACTAGTGGCAAATCTGCAAGTCCTGCCAGGGAAAAAATAAAACAAAAGTAATTATTCACAGAAGTAATGACTGCTCTAACATGTCAGAATATTGTATGAATTTGAGGTTGTTCAACATATTTTTCAAGCTACTTTCAGTTTTGTGGCTAAAACTGTACTTGCAACATCTGCAATGGGTGCACAGAAATCTCTAAGGAGTCAGATGCACTGGTTCTCAGCCATAAGATACTCTAGGCCGGGTGTCGGCAACCCGCGGCTCTTTTTCACCTTTCCTGTGGCTCCGGAGCACACTGCCCACCAGGTGACAGGCAATAGGGTCGGCAAGCCGCGGCTCTTTTAATGCAGCTCTTCTGTGTGCCGGGCGCCCGCTGGCAAACATTGGCTGTCAGGATGTAGGCGGGGCAGCGTGACGAACTCCTCTCCTCTCACAGTCCGCCCTGAAGACCAGAACGGCGCGGGAACACAGCGAAAGGAACGCGCGGAGCAAAGGTAAGTGAATTGACACAATATGGGGAATGAATTACTATATGGGGGATGAATTACTATGGGGGATGAATTACTGTATGGGGGATGAATTACTGTATGGGGGATGAATTTACTATAGGGGGGATGAATTACTATAGGGGGGATGAATTACTATAGGGGGGATGAATTACTATAGGGGGGATGAATTACTATATGGGGGATGAATTACTATGGGGGATGAATTACTATATGGGGGATGAATTACTATGGGGGATGAATTACTATGGGGGATGAATTACTATGGGGGATGAATTACTATGGGGGATGAATTACTATATGGGGGATGAATTTTCAGTTTTAAAAATGTTTCTCTCAAAATAAATTTCAATCGTGGTTTTGGCGAGATTTGGCTCAGTTGAAAAAAAAGGTTGCCCACCACTGATCTAAGGCTATGATTGTGATTATGATGATACACTGTGGCCCTGATTAACCCTTTGCTTACTGGGCCCTTAAACCCCCTTCATGACCAGAGCGCTTTTTACAATATATGCAGTGTCGGATTTGTTTTAAATGTTGCAATGGTTTTGCGGCTCCCAGTCTTTTTTTCCCTCTCGGAAACGGGTCCAAGTGGCTCTTTATGTCTTAAAGGTTGCAGACCCCTGCTCTAGGCTATAATAAAGAAAAACAAAAATGTCTCCTCAACATAGCTGTACCTCTTTTTTTTGAAAAAGAGGTACATCCCCTATATGCATTACCATCGCCCCCCTTCTCACGTATCATATAGATAGTGACTTGCAATCACAGTTTTGGATTTCCCTGATGTGAGCTCCAGCCGGCATCGATTAGTTCATACATCATGCTCTCTGCCCAGAACATGGTGCCTTGATTTCATGCTGTCCCAAGCAGATTCCTGGCTACTGTTTTTATCTAATAAAGATAGATACTTGGCTTTCTAATCAGATCCCAAGCTCCTTTCTGCTTTTATCTTTGGAGTGCCACCTACAACCAGCCTGGGTCTATTAAAAGAAGCCTGCAGGACCAGATCCAGAGCTTTCAAGAGCTCCTTGCGCTGACAGCCACTAGTTCTCCCTACCATGATTCATTTAGATTATTAGCATTAAAGTATATGTAAACCCTCACCTTCTTAACCCATTTAGTATAAAATAGAATTGAAAGGCAAAACATGTGTATACATTACATACCCTTTTTCCTTTTTTATTTTTATGAGTGCCATTTGAGCCATACAAAATGAATGGCTCAAATTGCACTGCCAATTGCACCACAGCAAAACTGCATGTGATTCGAACAGGAATCGCACTGCTACTTCAGCTGATTTCAGTTCAAATCACGTGATTCTTTGCAGTACGATTTGAGCCCATTAATTTTGTATGGGCTCAAATTGCACCACAAAAGGTATCGGTTTCAGGTACCCGAGCATTTGAACAAGTTCGAGTGCTCTTGCAAATGCTTAGTATTGGCACCGATACCAATATCGGTTTCAGTACAACCCTAGCACATAGTCTAAAAATACTTCTTTAGCAAAGAACAGGTCCACCACACCTGAGAACACTAGCAAAAAACAGTCTCACGCAGGCCAGGTTATATGGTGCACTCTGTGGCCCTAGTAAGTGTTTTTGCCTGTTCCCAATCACTTTAAGGTAGCTGCATATAACCCATGATCTATCCTATGTCCTGCACTGTATGATTAACCCCTTTACGCTGACAGTTTGCAAATATGCGGCCCCACTGGACTGGGCTTTTTTCCGTGTGCCCATATATTTGCGTACCTGTCTGTGCTGGGAACACACCCCACTGCGGGCTTCCAGCGCAGAGACCAGGGTCCCAGGATTAGTGTTTGGGTCAAAGGTCATTTATTTTTATTTTTTAATTTTTAAATTAGTGTCGGTGTATTTTAAGCACGGAAAAAAAAGCCAAAATGTGCACTATTGTTTCTGGGCCGTACTATGGGTACAAACAACAACATACACATACAGGTGAAACTCAAAAAAATCAGAATATCGTGCAAAAGTTCATTTATTTCAGAAATGCAACTTAAAAGGTGAAACGAATATATGAGATAGACTCATTACATGCAAAGCAAGATTGTTCAAGCTGTGATTTGTCATAATTGTGATGATTATGGCTTACAGCTCATGAAAATCCCAAATCCACAATCTCAGAAAATTAGAATATAGTGAAAAGGTGCAATATTCTAGGCTCAAAGTGTCCCACTCTAATCAGCTAATTAAACCATAACACCTCCAAAGGGTTCCTGTGCCTTTAACTGGTCTCTCAGTCTGGTTCAGTAGGAATCACAATCATGGGAAAGACTGCTGACCTGACAGTTGTGCAGAAAACCATCATTGACACCCTCAATAAGGAGGGAAAGCCTCAAAAGGTAATTGCAAAAGAAGTTGGATGCTCCCAAAGTGCTCTATCAAAGCACATTAATAGAAAGTTATGTAGAAGGGAAAAGTGTGGAAGAAAAAGGTGCACAAGCAGCAGGGATGACCGCAGCCTGGAGAGGATTGTCAGGAAAAGGCCATTCAAAAGTGTTGGGGACTTTCACAAGGAGTGGACTGAGGCTGGAGTCAGTGCATCAAGAGCCACCACACACAGACGGATCCTGGACATGGGCTTCAAATGTCGTATTCCTCTTGTCAAGCCGCTCCTGAACAACAAAACAAACGTCAGAAGCGTCTTACCTGGGCTAAAGAAAAACAGACCTGGTCTGTTGCTCAGTGGTCCAAAGTCCTCTTTTCTGATGAGAGCAACTTTTGTATCTCATTTGGAAACCAAGGACCCAGAGTATGGAGGAAGAATGGAGAGGCACACACTGCAAGATGCTTGAAGTCCAGTGTGAAGTTTCCACAGTCTGTTGATTTGGGGAGCCATGTCATCTGCTGGTGTTGGGTCCACTGTGCGTTATTAAGTCCAGGGTCAACGCAGCCGTCTACCAGGAGATTTTGGAGCACTTCATGCTTCCTTCCGCAGACAAGCTTTATGGGGATGCTGACTTCATTTTCCAGCAGGACTTGGCAGCTGCCCACACTGCCAAAAGCACCAAAACATGGTTCAATGACCGTGGGATTACTGGGCTTGATTGGCCAGCAAACTCGCCTGACCTGAACCCCATAGAGAATCTATGGAGCACTGCCAAGAGAAAGATGAGAGACATGAGACCGAACAATGCAGAAGAGCTGAAGGCTGCTATTGAAGCATTCTGGTCTTCCATAACACCTCAGCAGTGCCACAGGCTGAAAGCTTCCATGCCACGCCGCATTGAGGCAGTAATTGCTGCAAAAGAGGCCCAAACCAAGTACTGAGTACATATGCATGCTTATACTTTTCAGAGGTCCGATATTGTTCTATGTACAATCCTTGTTTTATTGATTGCATGTAATATTCTAATTTTCTGAGATTGTGGATTTGGGGTTTTCATGAGCTGTAAACCGTAATCATCACAATTATGACAAATCACGGCTTGAACTATCTTGCTTTGCATGTAATGAGTCTCATATATTAGTTTCACCTTTTAAGTTGCATTACTGAAATAAATGAACTTTTGCACAATATTTAAATTTTTCGAGTTTCACCTGTATGTGGTATCACTGCGATCGCCAGGGGAAGGACAATTTATTGAGTTGTACTTTGGTGGTAGGTTATGACAGTTGCAATAAATATACAGCTAAAATTGTGATCTTTATTATACTATTTTGGGCCAGTTTTCCTTTGATAAAAACAAAACAAAAAGAAAAACAAAAAAAAATAAAAACTCCGTAATAATCATTACCATTCACCACCAAATAAAATTCAAAAAAATTAAAAAACAAGGTATGATCCACCTGGATGCACAAAGTAGTTGTGATGATATGTACGGTTTTACTAACACATGTCAAAGTTGCAAAATTGTGCTTGGGTATTTAGATTTGTTTTACCCTTAGGTGCAAAGGGGTTAAGAGAAGTTTTTACCAAAACACAATTTCATTATTCTGTATTGGTAATTTTTTTTGTCAAATATGCCTGTTAGAGAGAGACTGGGTAATCTAGTCTCTCCCAGCAATCCTGTAAATACAGGTAGAAAGTTTTCACCAGATGCAAAACATAACTAAGCTACCGAATCCATACATTGTGACTAACTGCAATGCTTAACTTTTTAGGAAGATTTTGTGCATGTTGCATTGTGAAGACTAGTTAATATAATTGTGTGTTAAAGTAGAAAAGCTTTAGTTTGACAAAATTCGATATCACTAGTAGTAATAGGCTTTTGAAATTTTTTTTTTTTTAGCTCTTAGGCTGAATTCACACCTGTACGTTTCCTAAACAGAAATGTGTTTTGTTGCGCGTTTCAGAAATGCACTGCAAACATGCTGCAATCTTGGGTCGTGCTTGAGGTACCATTAATTGTTAATGGCACCTCAAGTGCAGGTAGCGGATGAGCATTCAAATGAATGGGCTGCCCTAGGTGCTCCATGCATTTACGGATAACTGCCAAAAAAAAAAATACATGATCAGGAGCGAGTGTTCTTGCTACCCTCAGGTGTGAATGGGGGCCTACAAATGTGTCTGTTGTAACAACAAAAAATTTGGATATATTTTGGCAAAAAGCAGGTAAATGCCTGCATACTAGTTCTTTTCTTCTCTGGGAAGCCTCAAAAACCCTGAATTATGTAGTGCATTAATATCAAATCTTGCCCACTCCCGCTTCCAACACAATCCTTCTGGCCCAACACTCTGAAGGGCCACCTCAAAGCACAATAGGACTGTGCAGAAGGCAGGATAGATAGGATTCTAAACTACCAGAAAGTACTGCATGTTACCCTTGTCAGAATATCCTGGGATTTTAGGTGTAGCGTCTCAATTTTTATTTTTTGGTCAATTTATATGAATATCCCTTGTGGTAACATGTACCATGACAGGCTTTCTTTATGGAATGATCACACATTTCTCCTCTGCCCTCAAAAGCAGCTGATCAAACCAAGATTGGTTTCGTTAGATGCTTTACAAGCTTGTAAACATCAAACGAAAACCAGAAGTGCCAAAATCCTGGTTGCTTTCAGTTTCTTACATCACAGACAGGAGGGCATGTACCTAGCTTCTCTTTTAGTGCACCAGGGATCCAAGCAGCAGCAGTACCCGAATGCTCAGGAAAGCCTACTACAGTGGTTCTTAACCTTGTTGGAGGTACTGAACCCCACCAGTTTCATATGCGCATTCACCGAACCCTTCTTAATTGGAAAAATAAAATATGATTTTTAAAATTCAAAACATAGGTATATATTTAGGTATATATTTATACATAGGTGCACAAAATGAACAAAACCGTTAAGAACAAAACCATTAAAACATGATTTTCACACAAAAACATAATAATGAATATTTACTGCACGAATCATATGAGTCGGGTGTGGGTCTTCACCTCCGCCGAACCCGCGAGACTGACTCACCGAACCCCTGGGGTTCGATCGAACCCAGGTTAAGAACCACTGGCCGAGTAGAAGCAGTGGGCAGAGGCAAGGCATCCTGTAGAAGTGATCGAGCAACTTTAAAGATGTTTGAATCAATTCTACAGTAAAACCCATTGCTGGTTGAAAATTGTGGTATTGGGCTGATGACTCCATCATCCCTGTATAACCACTTCAACCTGAGGTTGTTTGGGTACATCCTATCTGGCTGAAGTGGTTAAAGTGTTAACAGTGGGCAGTGAGCCAAGTTACAGGTAAGCTCTTGTTAGGCTGCAGTGATGCAGCAGTTTACAGACTACAAATAATGTTTCCTGACAGAAGAAAGAATTGTGTCTAGCTGAAGTCAAATCTCCCAATACACACAAATCTATTTTTCTATATACACTTGCAAACAGTTATTTGAAGGAACGCGGCAGGTAGGTAGTCTCAAACATCTTGGAGAACTAACCACAGATCTTCTGTAGATGTAGATGGACTCCAATCCTTCTGCCGAGTTCCTTCAGAAACTGTGTGCAAAAGTACCGAGAACAACTGATGCGGTTTTGAAGGTAAAAGGGTGGTCCACTCCGCTTTTGAACTTGTACCTACAAGGTAAGCCTATAATAGGGCTTACCTGTAGGTAAAGTGGATATCTCCTAAACTTGCAGTGTTTAGGAGATATTCACACAGGATGTAACCAGTACATGAGCTCTGAAGAAACGGCATACTCCTGCATGCAGGAGTGGCATCAATGCAGCTCAGCCATTCAAGCAGCTGCAGCCCACGAGCCTGGAAGGAAGACCATGTGAATATAGAAGCGCTGCCAGCGGTGAAAGGGCATTTTGTCACACCTGCCTGAAACTTTTGCACAGTACTGCATATTGGATGGTTTATTGGAATTTCATTCACACTTGCGCTGGGACGTATGTATGACTTGGATATAATGACATTTTATTTACACTCAATTGGTCTAGCACCACTAACAGTTGGTTATGTGTAAGCTTGTATTGTACATCACGATATATTGTATTAGCCAGTAGCTGGATCAATTGGTTTTAACCACTTGATAACCGGGCTATAGCCCAACAACGGCTACAGTGCAGTTGCCCAGTTCTGGTAGGGCGTCATATGTCGTCCTCCCAGAATGTGCCCTCCCGCGTGCCCCCAGTGGCGCGCAACCTGGCAATCTCCGGGATCGCTGTGTCCTACGCACAGCTGATCACGTGATGTGTGGTAAAAGGCCAATCACTGTGGGCTTACACCACATAATTAGCTGTTTCCAATGACACAGCAGATCACCGGGTAAATGCAGTTGCTGGTTGTCGGCTGCACTTTCCTCACGCTGTCACAGTCTGATGAAAGTACTGCCGATAACCGGCAATTGTCAGAAAACAGATCGGCACTGATGATCAGTGCCCAGCAGTGCCCCCCTACCTGCGCCCATCAGTGCTACCCACCTATGCCCCCCACCAGTGCAGCATAATCAGTGCTACTCATCAGTGCAGCCTCATCAATGCATATCAGTGTAGGAGAAAAATTACCTGCTTGTAAGTTTTTATAATAGAAACAAAAACGTTTTTTTTTTTTTTCAAATTTTTTGCTGTTTTTTTGTTTATAGCGCAAAAAACAAAAACACCCAGGGGTGATTAAATACCACCAAAAGAAAGCTCTATTTGTGAGGAAAAAATTATAAAAATTTCACATGGGTACAATGTTGCACGAATGCGAAAATTGTCAAAGTGCGACCGCGTTGAAAGCTGAAAATAGGCCTGGGCAGGAAAGGGGGTATAAGTGCCCCGCAGGCAAGTGGCTAAAGAGATATTTTCACTGTAAGCGCAGGTTTTTTCTTTTTCATTAAGGTAAGGTTATTATTGGTCATAGCAACAATCAAAATCCAATCACCATTTTTTACAATCTAGAATTGAAGGAACAAAATCAATAACTGGCTGTTATGGGTAACAACATTCTACCTTCACCACATTTTTTATTTATCAGGCCATTTTTCCATGCAGAACTGCTTGGTTTTTAGGGTCTGATCAGACAGCCTTGCACACTAAACTGCAGCTGTTTAGCATGGGGCAGCTGTCCGTTATGGCTACAGTGAGACAACCATAGCTGATACAAATTAATAAGAATTATTCCTAGCTGATATAGATGTGAATGACACCTGATGTAAAAAGAATGGGCTGGAGGAATTATAATGATTACTGCTATACTTTACAGCTGCTGGACATATTGGTAGTCCGGCACCAAGCTCTGCCATACAGACCTACTAGTCAGACAGGCAATGGCTGTGAACTGGAAGAGAGTGGTACCAATCATAGGACAATTTGTTACCTTAAATCAAATAATGCAGAAGCTAGATTTTACATTCCACCAGTGTGCAGAGGTCACCCATGTGACCAACAGGTGTGAGTGGGTGGCCTTTGTGATTAATGATTACAACTATGCCTGAGTGTCATCTGCACAATAGTTATCAATAAAGACTAAACCATCAATGATGCCCACCAGAGCCATGGAATGTGGAGAGCGTGGATAGAAACAGGTTTATATGGCTGCTGGGGAGGGGGAGAAAAAATCTATATGCACAGCCTGGTGCGTGAGTCGAAAGGGGAGGGGGAGATATTATGTGTCTGAGAGATAGATATCCCCCATGATCCCTGGACCATTCTCAAATCAACAAATAAATAGCTGCAATAAATACAGCGTAGCTAAGCAAAAAATAAAAAAACCTCCAACAAATACGCTAGTCTATAGTCTGCTAATGGGTTTACGTGTGGACCAAGACTTAAGCTGTTCTCTCTATTTTCTCAGCCATTCAGAAACATTGACATTACTACTGTGGGAGTTAAAAGGCCACACATGCAATGCTTTTGCACACCGCTCATCTCATGCCAGCATAGTTTAGACACTGCTCAGAAGACATTCCTATATAAGTAATTGTGCAATTTTTTTTAAGAAACTGTGAAAAACAAAAGGAAACCCATGATTATCCAGAATATATCATAACTGCAGACACAAACTGTGTAAAAAGTAGCAATGGCAGTTACTAAAATTTAAATCCCCACAGGCTTTTTTAATGTTAAGGTATTATCTTCTGGTATAAAACCGTCACATTCTGAAGAACTTTAGAAACTTTAACCCCGCTAAGGAGACAATTTCTGTCTAAGGAAAATATGAATCAAACAAGTGTCCGCTTACAAAATATATACTAGTCTAATCATCAATGCAGATTTATAAAATCCTATAAAAATTCTGCTTACCCTCAGGCAGCTGCAGCAAGTGGTTTCTCCTGATATTGAGATCACGTAATGATTCTAATTTGCCAATTTGGGTAGGAATTGTCTGGATCTCATTGCAACTCACATCCTGGGAAAAAAAAAACAAAAACAAAAAACCACTATTAGAATAAAAATGAAAAGCCCCCTCAACACTATGGAATATGCAACAATCTTTATATAAAACTTGAAAGCAACTTGCAGTCATAGTCGTGCATATGGAAAACAGCAACAAAGTGAACTGCTGGTAAAACACACAGCAACCATTTACTATACAGGAAATTAAAAGAGCTTGATTTAGCCTACTATTGAAGTGATCATTTCCTGTATCACCTGCACATAATTTTGACCAGATTTGTTAATTTGTCAATTTTACATGCACCTTGTAAACAAGACAAAAGGCAATAAAATATGTACATGTTAAAATGCCTTTTGAGTACAGTATCATTTACAGAGGTATTAACCCTTTCGCTGCCAGAGCCATTTTTGCATTTTTTTTGCACACGTTTAAAAAGAATCAAACCTGAAGATTACACAAAAACCCCAAAACATTATATATTTTCAGAAAGCAGACACCCTAGAGCAGTGATGGCGAACCTTTTTGAGCCCGAGTGCCCAAACTGCAACCCAAAACCAACTTATTTCTTTCAAAGTGCCAACACTGCAATGAAACCTGAATATCGAGCTTTTGGTTTAGAAAAAACAACTCGTACAGTAGTGCAAACTAATTAACAGTACAGGGATGACCAGAGACTGCGGACACAGTACAGGGATGACCAGAGACTGCAGGACACAGTACAGGGATGACCAGAGACTGCAGACACAGTACAGGAGATGACCAGAGACTGCAAACACAGTACAGGAGATGACCAGAGACTGCAGACACAGTACAGGGATGACCAGAGACTGCAGGACACAGTACAGGGATGACAGAGACTGCAGACACAGTACAGGGATGACCAGAGACTGCGGACACAGTACAGGGATGACCAGAGACTGCAGACACAGTACAGGGATGACCAGAGACTGCAGACACAGTACAGGGATGACCAGAGACTGCAGACACAGTACAGGGATGACCAGAGACTGCAGACACAGTACAGGGATGACCAGAGACTGCGGACACAGTACAGGGATGACCAGAGACTGCGGACACAGTACAGGGATGACCAGAGACTGCGGACACAGTACAGGATGACCAGAGACTGCAGACACGGTACGGAGATGACCAGGATGACAGACTGCGGACACGTACAGGAGATGACCAGAGACTGCGGACACGGTACAGGGATGACCAGAGACTGCAGACACAGTACAGGGGATGACCAGAGACTGCAGACACAGGGATGACCAGAGACTGCAGACACAGTACAGGGATGACCAGAGACTGCGGACATACAGGGATACAGAGACTGCGACACAGACAGGGATGACCAGAGACTGCGGACACAGTACAGGGATGACCAGAGACTGCGGACAGTAGTACAGGGATGACCAGAGACTGCAGGACAGTACAGTACAGGGAGATGACCAGAGACTGCCACAGTACAGGAGATGACCAGAGACTGCAGACACAGTACAGGAGATGACCAGAGACTGCGGACAGTACAGGGATGACCAGAGAGACTGCGGACAGAGACTGCGGACACAGTACAGGGATGACCAGAGACTGCGGACACAGTACAGGGATGACCAGAGACTGCGGACACAGTACAGGGATGACCAGAGACTGCGGACACAGTACAGGGATGACCAGAGACTGCGGACAGTACAGGGATGACCAGAGACTGCGGACAGTACAGGAGATGACCAGAGACTGCGGACAGTACAGGAGATGACCAGAGACTGCGGACAGTACAGGAGATGACCAGAGACTGCGGACAGTACAGGAGATGACCAGAGACTGCGGACAGTACAGGGATGACCAGAGACTGCGGACAGTACAGGGATGACCAGAGACTGCGGACAGTACAGATGACTGCTGACCTTTGGGGAGGGAGGGGGAGCGGGTACCTGAATTTGACAGGTACCCGCTCTTACTTCCGCAGAGTTTTTTTTTTTTATCTTACCTGTTCCTTTATCCAGCCGCGCGCTGTCTTCCCGGCTTCTGTAGTGTGGGCGCTCGTCGGACAGCCGGATGCCCAGTGCGCATGCGCGAGAAGCGCTGCGCTTTTGTGATTGGTCCGGCGGCTTCTGGGATCTGTCATGTGTCCCAGGTACCGCCTTACCATTCACAAAGAGCACTGCTTCTTGCGCATGCGCACTTGGGACCCGGCTGTCACGCACACTACAGAAGCCGGGAAGACAGCGCGCCGCTGGATAGAGGGACAGGTACGGTCCCACTGCAGAGCTGAGCGGCCGGCCCGGTATTCTGACATGGCGGCGGTGGAAATACCGGACCGGCCGCTCTATATTCGCTCCATAAGACGCACTGACATTTTCCCCCCTTTTTTGGGGGAAAAAAAAGTGCGTCTTATGGAGCGAAAAATACGGTACTCTCCTGGCGTGCCCACAGATAAGGCTCGGCGTGCTGGCTGTGGCACGCGTGCCACGGGTTCGCCATCACTGCCCTAGAGAATAAAATAGTGGTATTTATAATTTTTTATGTCACGCAAATATTATTGGAAAGGTCTAGGAAATTTGAATGAATTTTAGGGCAAACAAACACAATAAACGACCAAAATTTCTGGTAAAATATAAAAAGAGGATGTGCTGAGTAAATAGATACTCGACATGCCAAACCTTAAATTTGAGTTTGCCTATGAAATTGCGTCAAGCTTCAATAACCTATATTTTCTATAGACACTTCAAAAACCCCTATAGGTCATCAGTTTAGTGTCTCGGAGGAGGTCTGATGCTAGAACTATTGCTCTCACTCCGGCGTGCGCAGCAATACGTAATGTGTATCGCAATTGAGATTTTCAAGCGTACGCGACCCAACATGTGCGTTTCTGTTCGGACGTGCATATATGGGGGGGGGGGGGGGCCCAAAGCAACGGAACGGGGGGCTGTGAAAGCGATTGGTGGCAGTGGAACTGCCTGACTGCTTCCACCTGACAGGCAGGAGTCTGCCTGTCTGTTTTATGCACAATCCCGGTGGCTGCAGCCACAACTGCTCTGCATTTCTTGGTTTTACCGCATTTTTTATGTCACCCCACAGGTTTTTCTATTGGATTAAGGTTCGTGGATTGGGCTGGCCACTCCATAACATTAAGCTTGTTGGTCTGGAACAAAGATGTTGCACGTTTACTGGTGTGTTTGGAGTTGTCTTGTTGAAATCACCCATTTCAAGGGCATTTCCTCTTCAGCATAAGGCAACATGACCTCTTCAAGTATTTTGATGTATTCAAACTGATCCATGATCACTGATATGCGCTAAAGCAGGCCCAAAATCATAGTATGAGAAACATCCCCATATCATGATGCTTCCGCCACCATGCTTCACTGTCTTCACAGTGTACTGTGGCTTAAAGGATAAGTTCAGTTTTACACAACAAATAATACACATTGTTTTCAGGTAAAAAAAATGTGCACTTATTTTTTTTATGTTAGGAGCCTCTAAGGTATTGCACTAGCAAATCAGCAGATCATCGATGCCATGCAGGTCCATGAAGATTGTCAGGCTACATTCACAGCTATGCAGTTTGCCTTTGATCCTTTTCTGCAGTACATTTTGCGTTTTTGACGCGTTTGCCGTATTTTTATTTTTTTTTCGCTGCTACGCAGAGTAATAACGCATCAAAACCTTGACAAAAACGCACTACATGCTTTTCTGCAGCGTTTCCATTAATGTCTATAGAACCAAAATCGCCAGTACTCACTGTGTGATGGGACCACCAAGTTCCTGTGTATCAACCCGCTGCTTGTAGTCCCAAAATAGTGGTCATGTCCTGTGGAGGCTCCGCTAGTAGTCAGATAATGTCTGCCGGCCGTGCATCATGGACGGGATGCCATAATCGTGCTGGTAAATTCCTGTGAAGACACCATGTGGTGTAGAGGTGGTGTGCGGGGAGTGGAGGGAGGAGGCGTTTGACCACGCTGATGCATTTTGTCCCACCTACTTCCGGGAATTCTTCAGAGCAATCCACATATATGACAGGTGTTAGATGAAAGGAGAGATCTCTAACTGATCTGAGGGTAGATACCTCTGATATACAAGTAATGACTGACAATCTTTCTAACCAATTGCTCTGAAGAATTCCCAGAAGTAGGTGGGACAAAATGAGTCAGTGTGGTCAAACTCCCCCCCCCTCCATTGCCTGCACACAACCTCTACACCGTATGCGGTCTGCACAGGATTGGACCAGCAAGGATATGGCATCCCGTACAAGGTACTCGGCCGGCAGTCACTATCTGACTACTAGCAGAGCCTCCACAGGACATGACCACTATTTAGGAACTACAAACCACGGGTTGATGCACAGGACCTTGGTGGTTCCATCACACTGTGGGTACTGGCGACCCGGTGTTGCTATCTAGGTCAGATCAGCTGCACAGGCTTGTACAGGCTGGACTGGTTACACTCATCGAGGTTGCTGTGGTAGGTACTCGCATTACATCTTTGACCTATACCTGATGGCTGTATGGCCACCCATGTCCTCATGTCTGCATGCTGATTGGACTTCATCTTGGAGGCTTAGTTCTGCTGAGCACTGTCGTCTGTTTATGTTTGGTTATCAGCCTGTCTTCACCTTTGCAGGCCGTCTGGAATATCTGATACAGTACACATTCATGGACTTCCAGTGGATACATTCTGTTGCCCATCATTAACACACATTTTCTCCTTTTTCCTTTGGATTGGCCATACCAGGTTTACATATTTTTCTAGTGCACTAGTGACCTGATTTTTTAGGCTGGACTTTAGAGGCTAAAGCCCTTCATATTTGTTATTTCCTTTTAGGTCTTTATTGGTTATCATACTGTCTATGTATTTAGGTTGGCCTTTTGACTGCAGTATACCATTATCCATATGAACTATATATTTGCTCTGTCATTTAGTGTGTTGGTGGATGGGATACTGCATCTAGTGGGGTCTGGGGGGTAGGGGGGCCATAGTGGGCGAGTGCTATACCTCAGCTCCCTTCTTTCCCTTTCTGGGAGGGTCATTGTGGGAGAAGAATTGCGGTTTCTTGGGAGACATTCTCGGGGAGACTGTGGAAAGATGGTTGTGGTGTTGGGAGGTGGGTTAGGTCCATTTGGGGAGGTGTGGGTGCTGTGTACACACAGGGAATGCTCTTTGGTACCATCGGTGTTTAGTGTGGGAGGTCTCCCCCATATTTGGGCTGGGGGGTTTTTACGACTGGGAGTGAATACCAGGTTCCCGATGCAATGTTTTTAATTTGTATGATTTTTCATGAATAAATACGCTTTTGAAGTTAGCCTTTTTAGGTGTGCAGCCTATTTTTGTTTCTTCATATTTTTTTCTAGTAAATTATCTGCCAAGTAAAAAAATTATTTGTACCGAAAACAGTGATTGATCTGGTTAGTGATATTGGACTTCTATTATTTTGAACAAACTGTAACATTAAATAAAGCAAAATCATACCAGTTCTGTCAGGTGTCTGAGAAGACCAATCTCCTCTGGCAAGGAGTCCAACTTGTTGTTACTTGCTACGAGAACTTTCAGAGGTAGATTGCAGACGTGTCCTGGAAGTGATGTAAGTTGGTTCCGACTTGCAGAGGAAATACAAAAATACAGCAAAAAAGGATAGTTAAAATCAATCTACTCAAAAGGTATACACCTGCTTTTAAAACACTAAGAGCAGCAATGAAAAAAAGAACTACTTTAACAACACAGAAATGTATTCAATTGATGTATTAAATGGCTGAGCCAAGATCTTCCAGACAAAGCCAGTGGCACATTGGCCTCTCTAGTCCAGGTAATATGTTGGCAACATAACAAAGAACTAGCAAATTTGCCCCTCAAAAGGCAGAGAACTCTCAGTACTAAGTTACCCAGTTTTAATTACAATGTAGTAGATAGACAGATACCTGAGATTAATGAAGGTCAGGGCTTGCAGGTTAAGAGTAGCTTCTGGCACATAGCGGATACAGTTCTGATAAAGATTTAGGCTTTCGAGGGAAACATAATGACAGATCTCAGCAGGAATCTCCGACAGCCTGTTCCGAGATAGATCTTTAAAGAAAAAAGAAAAATCAATTTTGTTTTGCATGTTTAGGAGTAAACAGTTAGGAGTTGCAACACAAAAAATAGGCAGACATGAGATATTTATGAGGAAAACTCTCTATTTTAGCCTTGCTAAATTAAACTTGAGCATATAATGAAAAATAAGATTTGTACCATTTTGTGGGAGTCCATTGAGGGACATAGGAAGTCTTTAACTTTTGAAATCTCCAAAAGCAATGTACCTGATGGACAGGGACACAGCAGACATGAGCTAACAGATCCAAAGAAAAACCAGCATGACCGACTGCCTACAGCTCAGAGAGGCCTGAATGAACTTACGTCCGAATCTGGCATCAGATGAGGTCAAAACATCCACCTGATAAGACTTTACCAAAATGGAGACCGTCTGCAAACAGACACGGACTTCCTGTTGCATAAACATGAATGAGATGGGCAAAAGATGGCTTTCAGCTCCTATTCTCCAACTGTACAGAATTCCTCAGATGCGTTTCTGGGGGGTTATTCGTAGAGGTGTTGCAAGTCTATGAGAGCTTCATAAGTCAATCCTGTGTCTTGCACCAGTCTATTCATATGCTGATCCAACTTACAGTTTTTAGGGGGCATTTGAGCAGTTATTTTCATTGTTTTGATTCACCTATTCGAACTTCAAGAACATGTATGAACAGAAGACCAGGTAGCAGCCTTGTGAATCTGGGAAACAGTTGCTTGAAAAAAAAAAAAAATCAACTGTTGCCCAGATTTACAAGGCTGCTACCTGAAAAAGCCCAAGAAGCACTCTCAGGTCTAGAAAGGGTGGAACTTAATCCTTGAGAACAAGAGCTTGACTGGTGGTCTGGTCAAAGCCACCTAGAGATGGTGGAACTAGAACAAGTGCACACTCTCGGGGACCATCCTGGATGATAAAGGGCTTGATTACAAATCTTCACCCTCTGAAGAGTGATCTGTGGTGGATGGCGTTTCAGAGGGATGTTTGACAGGCAAGGAGATATCATCTCCTTGACACCTGGTTTACCCTCTAAAACCCCACAGCACCAGTCTGCATTGCATGTAAATGTGGTATAAACCCTTTTAGTTGAATGGGTCACATTCGATGGGGAGGACTGCTCACTGAACAAGACAGGGAAAAATTTTGCTGCAACACATGTGTACACTTCTATCCACCGCCTTTGCAGCTTGAAGGGTGATTGGTTATGTTGACATAGCATAAAAGAATTTGTATTTCTAAAAGAAGCAGTGGCTGTGAATAAGAATCGCAACCCCAACCTTACCCAGACAATGGAGGAAAATTTCCCTTCAGTGAACTGCAGCCAAACAGAGGGATGGAAGAAGGTCGTCTTCACTGCAGTGAAATGCTGAAACTAACTTAGGTAAGAAGAAAGTCCTAGGCCTTAACACCTTTTCCCAATGCAAAACCAGAAATGATATCAAGAAGGAAAAAAAGCTGCCAATTCAGATACTCTCCATGTAAGATCTGGTGGCTACAAGGAACACCAAGTTGTGGGTGAGAGGAACGTCTCTACTGGGTTTAAACAGTGGTTTCTGAAGCACAGAGAAAACCTAATTCAGATCCCATGGAGTCACATGGGACCAAACAAGGGGAGCTACATGTTAGACCCCTATACAAAGTAGTGAGTGGCCTACAGTCTCAAAAACAAGATAAAGGCAGCAAAAACTGAGCCCTTAATAGTGGTGCAAGCCAAGGGCTGGTCCAAACCAAGCTGTAGGAAGAAGAGGATTCGCCCCGTGAAGAAATTTCTAGGTTGGAAACCCCAAGACTCAAATGAAGTGAGGTACATCTTCCACACCTGATGACAGACCTTGCAGTAAGTAGCCTTCCTAGATTTTAGGATTGGGAATCATGGATAAAGAGATGCCCTCATCTGTCAACAGTCTTGACATTAAAGCCGCAACCATGAAACTTGATGGCATATTGGTCCTTCAAGCTGAAGATCTTGGCAGTTCCACCAGGAATCTTACCAGGTGAGCATACAAATTTCACCTGTGCCTTTTTGGAGAGAATACCAATCATCAGGATGTACTGATCCTACAGAGTATCCATTGCTTCTGCTAGAGAATCCCTGTATTTGGAAACAAACCTGTCTAGTTTACTGCTGAACCTTGAGGTCCAGATCCGGAAAAACCTCTGGGTGTAGTGACCACTCACTTGGGTCCAGATGCTGCTGGCTTAGGTAAAATGCCTGCCAGTTGTCTAGCCCTGGGATGTACAAGGCAAGCAAGGCAGCCAAGTAAAGTTCTGCCCAGGACAGGATCTGATGTTCCCCACTCTTGCCTTGGCCACTTCTGCGGCACTGACTGAATAGAATCAGGATCTTATCAGAATAGTTCAAAACTGCTGAAACAGCTATATTTCACAAAACTCCAGAATGTTTACTTGTGACAATAAAAAGTGCTAGCAAAATAGGTTAGTATTTCAAGGCCAAGTTCATCTTTTGAAAAAAAAAAATTTAATAAATTTAAATTTTTTTCCAAGTAAAAAAATGTTAATTTCTTTTTTTTTTTTCTAAGGAGCCTACAGGGAATGGCACCCAAGATCAGCAGATCATGGGTGCAATCTCAGGTTCCTGCAAACTCTCAGGATAGCGGTCAGCCCTGGCAGGCAATTACTTGAGAGCAGAAGGATCACTGGACTATGAGAGAGCTTACCCTAGAGTAGCTCTACCTCTGATGAAGTCATGTGGTATGACACAATACGCGTGAGGAGAAGTCAGGTGACATTAGCGCTCCTACATCGTTCCACCAGGCAGGGTCTTGCTCTCCATGGTTTGATTCTGACCACTGTTTCCTGCATTTTTAACACTATTATCATGTGAGTTCATATGCGTTAATAAATATATGGCTTTTAAAAAAGCCTACTGCATAATGTTCTACTTTATGGTTGCCGAGCTTTATCCACAGAGTTGGCTGTACTGAAATCGGGTGCCATTTGTGAAGGTTCAGTGGTGATTCATAAGGGGAAGAGTGCACAGAGGAGCACGTTATATGTTACCCCCACTAATAGGGGAGATGCTTTGTTTGACCTGTGTCCACATACAGGTCCATATGAGAAGGTTGGAGTCCACCTGGAATTCTATGTTCACTGTGGTGATTCACATGTATTGAAGTTTTACAGTACTGGGATTTTGGGTGCAATCACCAGTAGGAAGATTTTTCACTTATTTGAATTTTTTTGAAGAACTGCATTTATTTTTATGTTTTATCTCTTTTGGGACCATCAGTTTTTGTTCGTATATTTACATGCATTGATTTATGCTAGCAGTGCAACATTTTCATTTGTTTTATTCTGTATGGTAAAGTGGCCAGACGGAAGCCACTCCTCAGTAAAAGGCAAATGGCAGCCCGCCAGAAGTTTGCCAAAAAGGCACCTGAGGGACTCTCAGAGCATGAGAAACAAAACTGTGGTCTGATGAAACAAAGATTGAACTCTTTGGCCTGAATGCCAAGTGTCATGTCTGGAGGAAACCAGGCACTGTTCACCACCTGGCCAATACCATCCCTGCAGTGAAGCATGGTGGTGGCAGCAGCATGCTCTGGGGATGTTTTCCAGCGACAGGAACTGGGAGACAAGACAGGATCGAAGAAAAGAAGAATGCAGCAAAGTACAGAGACATCCTTGATGAAAACCTGTTCCAGAGCGCTCTGGACCTTAGACTGGGGCGACAGTTCATCTTTCAAGAGGACAATGACCATAAGCCCACATAACAAAGGAGTGGCTACGGTCCAACTCTGTGAATGTCCTGGAGTGGCCCAGCTAGAGCTCAGACTTGAACCCGATTGAACATCTCTGGAGAGATCTGAAAATCGCTGTGCACCAACGCTCCCCATCCAACCTGATGGAGCTTGAGAGGTACTGCAAGGAATGGGAGAAATTGCCCAAAAATAGGTATGCCAAGCTTGTAGTGATCATACTCAAATGAATTGAGGCTGTAATAAAAAAAAAAAAAAAAAAAAAAAAAAAACACATTTCTAGATTATATCCAATTCAAAGCATGGAAACCTACAAAGAACGAACCCAAAAAGCTTACTACCTTTAGAAAAATGTTCATTGAAAAAAGAAAAAAAAAAAGAAAAAAAAAAAAACTGCAATCTTTACCAAATGAGTTTACTAGATTAGGTTTTATGGATGTATTTGTTGTGTGCACATTCATGATTTACCTGCATTCAAATTTTATATACTTATTACAGACTCAGATGTCTTCCTTCAATGAAATGACACTGGGCAACACATTTCAAACTGTGAACGATTATCGTACTCGCACACGGTACTGATGTATGAACATCAGATTACTGGCAGAAAATTTCTGTATAAAATGTTGAGGATTTGTTGTACAATAAATGGGTGTATTCACGTATACAAATTCAAACAAATATTCTAGCTTTTCTTGGTTTGTGTCATACGCATGTGAAATACTGTCCAACACTACAGATTGACATTTTTTTTTTCTTTTACTAATTTATACACAGCACAAGTTTACATGCCTGTGTGTACAAGCCTATTATAATTTAGATCAGTAAAAATAACCCCCCCCCAGAATGCCTAAAAACATGGTTTAACCTCCCTAGCGGTATGATTATGTCCATATTTCAATGCTCAAAGCAGTACATTTTTTTGCATGGAAATATGTATTTTTTTTATTGTAGGTCTGTAATTTTTAGGAATAACTCACTGAAATCTGTCCGAACAAGAGTCTAGTAAACATCCCGGGTATAATAAAATTTGAAACACGAAATCATAAATTATAATATAATAATCATAAAAAATAATAATAAATTTAATTCAATAATATAATCAAACCAAAAACACTGAAATTTGAAATATAGCGCCAAGTTCGCACATCACTGAGCAAAGTTGCAAAATTGTTTTCAGTGTCTGATGACGAATTTCCCCACGAATCATCACTCAATTCTGCAAGTAGTTCTAATTTACTATCGCTGTTTTCTAGCTGGTCTAAAATCGATTTTGACCTAAAGGGATGCTTTTTGGATGCCATGGACATTTCTCAGTTTCAAGGCAGAAACAGTAAAAATGTAGGCAGGGCACAGGACAAAGCACTAGGGACAAAATGTATGTGTATGTTTGATACAGTAATGTTTTACAATGTGATTTTAGTGTATTTAGTGAATGTCACTTTTTGTCATTTTCAAATTTCCCGCCGCTCCATCCCCGTACGTCCTGACGTCGTGGGGAACGGAACCCAGAAGACAGATGCCGGCATCGGCCGGAGGACATTGCAGGGGATACTGCAGGAGGGACATCGCAGGAGTGCAGGACAAGGTAAGAGAAGAACAAATCCCGGAGCAACGTCGCATGGTAAGCCCGAGTGTAGTTTGGGGTTACCGCTTTTGGTACTGAAACTATACCCAGAGCTACACTCGGGAATACCGCCAGGGAGGTTAAGAAATTACAGCTGGTTTCTAAACTTTTAAGCAGTACCAACTTTATTGGCCGGTTCACACTATAGAAACATAGTCCAGATGCATTCCGGATGCGTTTGTGCATTTTTTTATGTTTTTTTTTTTTTTCATGTTCCAGTGTGTTTTTTATGCATTCCAGTTAATTTTTTCTCTCTCTCTTTTTCTTCAATTTAAACAGAGACATGTGCGTTTTTGGTGCATTTTAGGGCATTCCAGTGCATTTTATGCATTCCAGTACAGTTCTGTGCAGAAAAAATGCAGCCCGTTCTACTTTTTTTTCTACACCCAGAATGCACTGAAACTGCATGCACTGATGTGAACTATGACGTTGACAACCAAATAAACTACTTTCTGTGCGTTTTGGATTCAGAAAAAAAGTAACTAACACATGTAGTGTGAACCAGGCCTAAAAGTGGATATAAACTCAAATAGTGAAGTTATGCTATGTCATAGGAAACATAGAATTCTTTACAGTGCTTTAAAAATGTACCGTTTGTCTCAAATGCCTTCTGAAAAATAAAATACATTTTTTTTTAACATTATTTCATCTAGGAAATCCTGTTTATACAGTTTCACAACTGATATCCATGGCATGATATCCAAGACACGGTCTACTTCTGCCCACTAGCATCATAAGATCTGGGGTGAGATTTGAGGAGTTCACTACTGTGCTGCTCGTAGTTTTCCTTGCTGGAGGCTCTGGCATGAGGAAGCACAAAAAAAAAAAAACAAATACCTTGTACAGCAACAACAGGGAAAGATAAGCTGCAAGGAAACCAGAGGCAAGAACAGCGATTAGAGCTTTAGCCTCTACCTACATATGTTTATTTATTCTAGGAACAGCTTTCACAGTTCTGCTCTTTAGTAAAAAAAAAAAAAAAAAAATGTTGGTATTTGCTTAGGTTTTATGAAGAGAGGGCTGCTGAAGCGGTAGATCAGGGTCACTGGGGAGGATAAAACAACAGCAGAATTATGGTACCTGCTATCAAGCATCACTATTACTTCTCAATCCATTTAATTTTTGTTTCTAAGTACACACCTGTTTAAAACAGGGTGGATAAAAATCAATGATTTAAAAAAAAAAAAAAAAAAAAACAGATTTTTTAAATTTAAATCGGATTTTTTGATTTAAATCGGATTTTTTTGATCTAAATCAGATTTTTTAAAATAAAATGCTTTTTGAGGAAAATATATTGCCATCCAAAGGTTATTCCATCATGAAATAAAGATTAGTTTTTTTAATTATGTAGAATAAGGCGGTATATGTTTAATTTTTTTGGTAAATAAATTCCATGAATCCATTCACAATGTCATGCTCTTCCAGAGGTTTTTGTAAGATTATTGGGCAGTTTCTCTGCCTACAAGATATTATCACAGATGCTTGGTTTACTTTTGCAGTTCTCAAAACTGAATTTGACTCAGCGGAGATCACATGCCTCTTCTTCACAGCAAAAATGTTATAACATGAACAGAGTTAAGAAAAAGACCTTAATCCTAATTTCTACAAACCTATGAATACAGAATCAACCCCTTCAGTGCTAAGTTTCAAGAAGTTCAGTGAATAAAATAGTAACAATATTTTTCTGATTGTTTGGAGTGGAATAGATCTGCACAAGAAGAAATTGAAACTAAGTGTGAGGAGGAAGGGGCTGACAGGCTAAGTTTCTTAAAATATATAGATTTTGTTTAGCCAAATTAGTTAACAAACATGGATGTTTGTTTAAGCAAATAACATATGCTGGAATGTTATTGTTTCAGTTGAATAAATCTATTTAAATTGTTATTAAAGTAATGATTATTTTTCTCCTTCCTAAGTACAACAGAAAAGTTGTCCAAATATGAATGATTAACCTATTAAACTGGGGATCAAAAAACTAATATGAAAAGTTATTCTAAAAATCTTCATCTACTTGTATATTAAAGTTATACCAGCAAGAATTAGTCTTTATGTAGAAAACTAGGATTTAAATCAAGCCTTACTGACTAGTGATTTAAATCGTGATTTAAATCAGTTTGATTTAAATCAAATCCACCCTGGTTTAAAATAAACCTGCGAGTATTAGTAGTAAGAGCTACAGGTTCTGGGGAGATGTGCAAGTTTCTACCTTTTCAGCAAATAACTTTTTAGCAAATACCCAACAAGCTGCAGAAGTTATTTTCTCAAAGATGCCATTTGTAGATCTACAAACATATTCCTCCCATTCTATCAAATGAGACCTTTTGATAGGTTATGGTCTTATGGCTTTGCAGTTGTGGGAGGTGGGTATGAAACACGTTTCTAATCCACTACCAGGAAATGAAGAAACCTAAGGAAATTCTCTGGGCATATTGGAGAGGAAACCGCTACAAATACTGTATAATGGCTGCTAACCAACATCCGCAGCTCCTTATTTACAATGTAGTTTTGTTACATCACCATTTAAATCAGGGGTCTCCAACCTTTTCACTATTCTGGGACACACTGGAAGAAGAGGAATGGTCTTGGACCACACATAAAATACACTAAGAATAGCTGATGAGCAGAAAAGGTTGGGCAGATAAGTTAACGATCACTGATATAGATAATGTCAATATATGAGAATAGTGCCACTCAGTACAAGTTTTAGTAAAAATAATATTTAGCAAAAAGAGAGCACTATGTGTTCTTCTCTTTTCTGCGTTTACTATTGCCCTGCTATGCTGAAGTATGGAGGATGGCACTGGACTGTAAAGTACCTGGGGGCTGGAGTGGGATATCAGTGCTGTGGCTTATAGGAACCCCACTTAAAGAGGCAAGTGCATACAAGCTAGAATATGTTAGGTCTACGGTCAAGGTGAGAGCATTAACCTTTGGGGAGATGGGACATGCAATTTGATTGAGATGCGCAATTTAAACCACCAGTGATAAGTGAAAAGTGAATGCTCATACATGCTGTGATACATGTGGATGAATTGAATATACAGTACATGGACAGCATATTTGTGAGATTGCTCAGCAAAAAAAGCAGAGCAAGATAATGATCTAATTCGGAAACATTACAATATACGTTCAACTCCATACACATGGATAATAATTTGCAAGTAGTTGGCAATGATGTGATATTTGGGATCATTTTATATTTGGAGCTTTTAGTATGCTTATTTAAGGTATATAGGGTTCACCTACACAGTTTTGGTAGAAGATAAAGACTATTGTTGCACCCCAGAGGGATATTGGGTATTTAACTAGGTACACACGGATACATTGGGATACGTGGATATGTCATAAGTTCCGTATTTGTTTCATTTTTCTTTCACATTTGAACACAATTAACACTGCAAATGCCACTGTTGTTGCACATGCACATTTAAAGTGGTACACGTGGACATTTGCATAGGTACGTGTATATTTTGTTTCTAAGCACAATTTACAAGCGGTCCATCAACATATTCTTTGAGCACATTATTAATGTATTTTTGATGAACACTGGTTGCGTTTAGTGATACTATGCAGCATTATTCATATATATATATATATATATATATATATATATATTGAAGTTATTTTCACTTGGGAACACATAAGTGTGTGCAGCAATACATAGTTTTAAAATTAATTGGTGGATGTGAATGATTGCACTTGGGTATACTTGGTTAATTTTGTAATAGATAAATGTACCGGAGTATTAAACTTCATTTTTTTGTAATTATAAAAAGGTAAAAACATTATAAAAAAAGGTAAAAAAAAGAGGGCAACATAATAAATATTACGATAGTTTACACTGTATTTGATAAACTAACACATCAATATCTGGTTGGATGGATGTAGTAGCAATTCTCAAGGTGCTTATCAGATATTTTGGTTCTAATTTTGCCCTTCGTGTGCTTCATCCTTGAGAATAGCTACTCACAAATATAGGTGCTGCCAAAAATTGAATACATGAATAAGGCGTGATTGTGAAGAGGGAGATATTTATCTTTGGGAAGATAAAACTTCTAAAATTCCAGTAAAGAGACAGTCAAAATTTTCAAACTTTCACGTGTTCGCTAAACGCATTTTTACAAAAAATTGTGTGATGGAGCACACTGATAGCCATCTTTGGCCACAAATGGCAGTGGGCTGCAGGTTGGTCACCCCTTATAAAAAGAGATGATTTTCAGTGAAAATGAAAATAACTTCCTACTTTATCGTTTACACTGTATACAGCACAAATAAATTTAGTTTTCAATATAATGGGTTCCTTCCTCTTAAAGCTGAAGTCCATTAAGGAGGAATTTAATATTTTTATATAACTGTCTACCTATCTTGTTCAAAACCACTGTCCATTTGTTTTTAAAGTTGAAATAAAGATTTTATTGGAGAAGAGGCATGCTATGTCTCTTCTGCAATAACTCACACTTACCTGTTTACTTGCAGTCTTCTACTGAACGAACGAGCTGTGCATGTGCAGCTTAATATGGAATTCCAGAACACTCTGGCTGTGCCAGAATGACCGATTCTCATGCGCATGCATGGGATGACTTCACCCCCCACTGGCCAATCAAAAGGCTAAAAACTCAACACCCAAAAGCAGTTGGGAATATGGCCGATGAAAGATGCACCAGAGGAAGGCGAAAATGAATATTTACAGTAATTCAGTTCTGCTTTAAAGCCCAATTCAAGGTCCTCTTACACTGCAAGGGTTAAATACTCGTAATGTGTAAGGAAGAGGGCTCTATCATTTACCTTACACCTAGCTCCAACACACTCTTCCTCTGACCAAAGGTCAGGTCTTTGGAACAGTCATCATGTACATTACAGGGACATTTACCCTCTATGGTACACTAGGGAGGCTGGAAAGCAACCTGAGGTGGCCAAATTGAATACAGAGCAGGCTGCAGGGGAATGGTCGCAGCACTGAAGGAGCCTGCTGGAGAAAAGAGTACAGCATTTACTCCTTAATCCCCAGCCCCTAGACTAAATGAGCATTTAACCAGGGTAGGGAGGGGCGGGGGGCATTGTAAGGGTTTTCCTGGAATTGGGC